AAGTTCCCGGCGTTGGCCGTGTTGTTGACGTGCCGGTGATTTCGGTGGCCGAGCTCAGCAGGCCCACGCTGGCCGCCCGGTGATGCTCAGCGGCTGCCCGACACGGCGCCTGTGGACGACAGCGCGGCTCCGGCGACGGTGCCGGTGGCTGTGAGCGCAGCGCAGGAAATGGCGCCCGAGGCGTCCACGCCCTGTCGTGAGCGCATCGGTGCAGTTCATGTCGTTGCACAGCAGCTGGTCGCAGCCCACGTTGCCCTGCACGAGGCCGAGGCCCTGATCTGCATGCTAGCGTGCCCGCTGACTGCTGCACCAGCCCGGGGATCGACCCACCAAAGGCTCCGAAGTGCAGCTTTGCGACTCCGCCCGGCGGCGCCAAGAAGTCCGTGCTCCAGACACCCTGCGCGGCCGTGCCGAGGAAGGTGCCTGTGACGCCCGCGTAGCGCTGACGTACATCACCAAGTTGGAGGCCGTGCCCAGCCGGTACTGGCAGCCGAAGGAGTAGCGTCCCGGCGTCAGGGTGTAGGTGCGTACGATGTTCCAGGCGAAGGCGCTCAGGGTCATGGTGTAGCCCTCCAGCTGGAAGCCTTCCACCATGAAAGCTAACTGTTGGAGCGCGCCAGAAAATTGCCTAATGTGGTCAGCGTGGGTTGAGCAGCACCTTGCCCAGGGTGGCCAGCGTGACGTCGTCGTGTCTGCCTCGACCTCCGTCGTGTTGCCAGCCTCCAGGGTTGCATCCAGGATCTGGAGTCAAAGCTGCCGTACAGGGGGTCGTAGACATTGTCACCCTCGGACATGTACACCACGAAGTTGGAGGCCGTGCCGAGCCGGTGCTGGCAGGCGAAGAGAACTCGGCCGGGCGTCAAGTTGTAGGTGCGCACGATGTTCCAGGGGTTCGCAGCCAGGGTCAGAGTGTAGCCCGGTGTGCGTGGCCAGGACCACGTTGCAGCCGCTGCTGGGCGAACCGTCCAGTTTGACAGGGAGACGTCTGTGGGGGCCAGGATCTGCTCTCCTATGGCGGCCACCACCCCGTCGGCCCCTCCGTCGTCCGGAAAGCGCACGGCTATTTGCAGGGCCAAGGCTGCCTCCGTGACACCGAGCTTGCCTGCTAGGAGGCCGTCCACCTGTGCGATGGTGTAGTAGCTGAGCAGCGCGGCTGCGATGCTCGAGGGTTGCCGTGTCCTGGTTGGCGGCCAAGCGGTACGCCACCAGCGCCGAGGTGATTTGGTTGGCCGTGAAAACGTCCTGGTCCGGGCCCGTCCGGTAGGCCAGCAGCGCCCGTGATGGCCGCCTGCGTCTGTGTGTCCTGCGCCGTGCCCGTTCGGTAGTCGACCAACAACGCGTCCACTTGCGAGGAGGTGTAGTAGGCCAGCAGCGCAGCCGCGAGGGCCGCGTCCGCCGCTGCGACGGAGTAGCAGTCGGCCGTGATGCTCAGCGTGTCGTCGCCGTTGGCCAGCGCAGCAGAGAGAGGAGCCACGAAATGCAGGTTGCGAACGACGTTACTTCCGCGAACGAGCTCCCAAGTCGTGAAGCCCGCCCAGGCCGCCGCGTTAACAACTCCGCCGCTGCCGGAAAGCTGCAGGGCTGCGAGCTCCGCGAGGATTGCGTCGAGGGCGCTCTGGAGCGTGGTCTCGCTGGCCGAGAGCGCGGCGTTCGTGGCGTACGAGGCCAGCAGCGTCGCGTCGGCCTTGGCCCCCTGGAGCGCCGTGATGCTGGCGTCGCGGCTAGCAAGCTGCGCTGCGACGAAGGCCTCGGCGGCGAGACCCAGCAGGGCATTTGCTATCTTGGTGTCTACCTCCAGCGGCGTGTCCAACCCGTCCACCGTGGAGAGCAGGGCGGCCAGCGCGCTTGCGTCCGCCTTGCCTGCGAGGGCGGCGTCCAGGGCTGCCGTGGTGACTGCGCCCAAGAGGGGCCACTATCTTAGAGTCCACCTCAGAGGAAGTGTCGACGGCCGACTGCAGGGCGTACGCGGTCAGGGCGCCGAGATGCTCGCGAGCTTGGAGGCCAGCGCTGCGGCGGTGACGACGCCCAGGAGAGCGTTGGCCACCTTGGTGTCGACCTCCAGCGGCGTGATCCTCGCCGCTATGTCTAGCGAGTGCTGGTCCACCACCGTTGGCTGCCACCGTCGCGTGGGGTTGCTGGCCGAGGCGATGGAGCCGTTCATGGCCGCCGTGGTGCTGTAGTTGGACAGCTTCAGATCCACGCCGTCCGGGGTGCTCTTCGTCGCCACCACGCCCTCCAGCACGTCCTTGTTGGAGAGACCCGTGGTCAGCGAGCTCTGCAGCGCGGCGATGCTGCTTCCGTGCGCGGCCACCTGCCCGTCCGTGGTGGCCAGGGCCGCTGCCGTGGCCAGAGGGGCGATTGCCGGCGCCAGCGCGCTGCTGTCCAGCTTTGAGGCCAGTCTCTCTGCGGTGACTCGGTCGTCCAGGGACTGGATGGCTGCTGCGGCTGCCGTGTTCACCGCCAGGTCTGTTACTTGGGCGTAGGGCGTCAGAGCGAGGGCCAGCTGCCCTGCTGTGACGTGCGTGCCGTCAGTTACCTCTCCGTTGTCCAGGACCTCCGGGATGTTGTCCGTGACAGGTCCGTCAAACATGTTTTCTTAGGAGTAGACGTTACGTACTTGTAACGATGGGGTGTTGTAATTTAGCAACGCCCCCCTTGAGTCGCTATGGACCAGGATTTTCGGGCAAAATCGATGGAGTCATCTTGTCGTAGCATGGTCGTGTGATGCTTTGAGGGAAAATATCCCTCAATTCCGTGCTTGGCTACCTGGGCATGAAGTGAGGGAAAACTTCACTTATGATACCGCTCGCTGTACCGTGGTTATGACGAATTGACCGACGGCGTCGGTCAAAACGCTTGGGACACAGTACTGACACCTCGGCCTGTGGCGCATGATGAATTGACCGAATTGACCGATGTAGCTATGCATTGTGTGCATAGTTTTATAGGACAAAGACCGAAAGCTTGTGTCACGGGGCAACACGGGCCGCGGTACACCTCGGGGGCTCAAGCGCTACCTTGTCTCAGTGGTTACGTCTCTGCACCTGCTAATGAACCAACCTCGGGAACTTGGCCGCTTTTGCGCACTTTTCGACCCAAAAGAGAGCGGTGACGAAGCGGTGACAAGCGGTGACAAGCTCGGCGGGATGGAATTTGCCTGCTTTTCCGGGCAGAAAGCGGAATCCTGAGCAAAGTGAGCGTCTGGATCCTGTTTTCGACCGAAAACGAGCGAATCTGGAGGCTCAGGCACCACACTTGACGTCTGACACGAAAAAACGAACTTTTCGGAGTTGGCCGTTTTGAGCGCTTTTTGCACCAAAAACGGAGCGGTGACAAAGACCGGTGACATCGGAAAAACGTTCAGCTGGATGGAGAATTCGGCTGTTTTGCAGGGTTTGGGGACCAAAAATCCCAAATTAATTGGGTGCAATAAGCTGATGTTCCTTACTACTAGCACCGGCACGTGGGCCAGCTTGGTCAGCCGGTGCGAGCTTCTTCCGCCCGTTGCGCAGGAGGATGTAGTCGTTGGGGCCCTCGCGGATGAGGGGCTGGTTGTAGCCGAAGTCCCTGCTGGAAGGCCGCAGGCCCAGGTGCAAGTAGTAGTGCTAGCCCGCCCGGGTCAGCTGCCCGTCCGCGCGCGAGAGCAGCGACGGCTCCATCCGCAAGCCCGGGCGCCGCCGTCCGCGGCCTCCATGATCTGCTGTCGTTGTCTCGCCCAACTTGCCATTCTCTTTTTACGGGTCCAGTTTTTTTTGCTTGGCCGCGCCGGCGTCTGTGCGGACTGGAGCTTGTTTCGCACGGTTTTTGTCCCCCAAGGGAATTTCTGTTGCAAACAGACAGTACTTTCTCTCCGTGTAGCGACACAGGGACGCGGTGAGTCCCGACCTGTTTGAGACCCCTCCCCAGCGTTGCTTTTTCTTAGAACCTGTGGGAAACTCCAAACCCCCAGGTTAAGATTTCTCCTTTTTGTGGTTTGTGCGTGTGACTCTCTCAAAGAGAGTTGACGCTTGCACATGCCAAGGGTGACAAACCAATTGATCTGCTGAACCAACTTTTAACAACCATGTGGTTTGAAACAAACCGCCGTGATTGGTGTTTCATCCCATTTTTACATTGCAAGCATAGGCTTGCAATTGCGAAAGCGTGACGTCTTTCAGTTTTTGTCCCGTTTGGACATGTGATGATTTGGACACCGATCCTTTTTGGCTTAAGGGAGTGGAGGGTGGGTGTCCTGTTTGCTTTTTGACACTTCAGAAGTTTGAGGAAAAAACCCCTATGGGCAACTGTCGCAGTCGGTTGCGGGCCCGATCCAATCGAGCCATAGTCCGGTGGATCCGTATCATTCGGACCCTCCGCCAGGTGCGCAAGTGGCAACGTATATTTCACTTGACCGGTGTGCGCCTGCAGCAGATCCAGCGACGGTTGCTAACCAGGGTTTCTCAATACCTTCGTTGACTGGAGTGTGGTCAGGTGCCTGTGCATTGCATGTGAGGGGGTCTTTCCGGGCAATGCAAAGCAAACTTGACATAGAACAGGAATCAGATGGAGCCAGGAAAGGTTTCAGGAAAAGATGGGCCGACAAAACGTGGCCTTCATCGGTGGGCGATCAGGACCAATGGAGCCAGAGCTCGTGCCATGGCGGCCCGAATGAATCCGTGACTTGTGAGCCACAAGAACTGGTGCGTGCAAACAGGTTGGAAATCCTGGACCCGTCACGCAGGGAGTCGCAGTGGAAAAGGCAGGCATTGAATGATCAGATGAAGCGTGCCAGATCCGAACTCCCCTCCCTTCCATGGGAAGTGGATGGACAGTGCAGTGCGTTTCCAAGTTCGCTCTCGCCAATAACTTCTGGGAGACTTGTGAAGACCATCTTAGATAAGGGCCCCGCCTTAATAGGATGTGCCGAAGTGCAAGAGTCAGTTGTTGTGACGAGTCGTAGCCCTGAAGCGTCCTCCTGTCGCCCAAACAGCAAGGCCATTGTGAGAATCAGGGGAGCTCGTATGGAGCAGCCGGAGGAGGATATCAGACGCCTGGCCCTGAATCGGCTGAGAGAGATTGTTTTGCATGATCCTGAAGCAACAGCACTTGGGTCTAGCCTGGTGCAACTCGGGTCGGGCTTGGTAGATGACAAGACGATCAGTCAGTCTTTCCATGACTGCTTCAGGAACAAGGCTTCCACAACTCTCCAGAAACGAGCCGGGTCTCTGATAAAATTTTTCTGGTGGGCCCGCAGCAATGGCTTGAGGCCACTGAGGTTCGATGAAAGCGAACTATACGCGTATCTGTGTTACCTAAGGGAATCCGGCTCAGGTGCAACGGCCCTGCAACATGTGATTGAAGCATTGAGTTTCTTGGATGGTGCAGTGCGGTTCAAATTCGTGGTCATGAACCAGGTCTTGTCGGGCAGATGCAAGGGGGCAGCTCGTGACTCTTATTTGACAAAGGCCCCCTTGAGCCAAAAGGACCCGCTCAGTCTGGCACAAGTGCGCGCTTTGGAAGAACTATGTGTGACTGCCCAATCGAGAGATGCGTGCATCATTGGTCAGCTGCTTTTCTGTGTGCACTCGTGTTGCCGCTGGAAAGACTCGCAGAGGATCCGGAGCCTGACGCGTGAGTCGTCGCAAGACGTGACTTTGGTGCATGCCGATGCCGTGAAATCCAAAACAACTCTGACAGCCGAAGCTCAAACTAGGTTTTTGCCTTACGTGGCTCTGGGGACCGGCGTGTCGTTCAGAGACTGGTCCAAGGCTTGGTTGGCGGCTCGGGAGGCTGAGGAGTTGTCTTTTGGTTCCTATGCCTTGCCCAGTTATAGCGACCGTGAGGCAGGTTGGACGGATGCCCCAATGTCATCCTCGGAGGCTACGGAGTGGCTTCGTGAGTTCTTGCAAACTGCAGGTGCACAACCAGCAGAGCTGTCCCGGGTGGGCAGCCATTCTTGCAAGAGCACCATGCTAACCTGGGCTGGGCGATCAGTTCAAGTGAAGTTCTCGCAGGACGAGCGTCGGCTTTTGGGCCATCACTTGATACCGGGAGATCGCAGCATGTTAACGTACTCCCGAGAAGCCTACACCACTCTGTACGGCATGGTGCTTGCAATGTATAGGTTGATAGAGAGCGGCGAGTTTGATCCTGACATGACGGCGGTATCGCGTGTTCTGGACTGCGCGTCGGCTATCAGCCAGTTGGCCGCCAGGGAAACCTTTCGTGTGCAGGAAGAGCCTCAGGTGTCAGAAGGTGACAGCGATACGAGCCGTGCATCTTCAGCAGGTGTGCTTGCGCCCGAAGCAGGATCCTCCCCAGGCATCTCGAGTGTTTGTGTGCCGCAGAAACCGAACACAGTGCAGAGTGCCTTGTGGGAACCCGAGGACTGCGTGATCCATCGCCTTTCAGGGGTAGTGCACATCGTCAGGTCAGGCCAGCTCTTAAAGTGCGGTAGGTTAGTGACCAAGAATTTTGAGCGACTGCCCGAACAAGTGCCAGACTCACGAGAGTTGGATCATTGCGTTCAATGCAGCAAGGCCCAGCACCCGTGACAAGTGCCCCTCAGGCCGAGCATTCGCAATGCATGTGTTTCGCATTTCCGTTGGACGCAGTTGGCGGCAGCCCGGTCAAAGAATTGCTTTGATGTCGACGGGAATGCTTGCCACGGGGTTTAAAGGGGACCTCGGGAAAATTTTTCACTCTTTAGAGCCCCCCATGTTTTCCCAAACTCCTTCCTCCTAATTCCCGAAACATATCTGATGCGGCATGCGGGAGGGCGAGGCTGTGAGCGCTCCGGGTGAATGTGTGTCTTTGTACCGCAGCACCGATTGAGTGTCTCTACCCCGCGATGACCTTCCGGTTCAAGCCCTGAGAGATGTGAGGGAATAGCCAAAGTCAGGGGCGAGGAGGCGCCCTTAGTTGTGGCAGTGAGTTGTTTGGGAAAGCACCCGAAGGGGGGGGGGGGAAAGAAATTCACGCAGATAGCTAACTCATTCTCTTGTGCGAGTTCAGGAGGAACCCAGCCATGGCATCGGCCACACTGGATAGCAAAGCAGCGTTTGCAGAGAGAGCTTGCCAAATCGGAGTTTCGGAGGAATTTGCAACGCTGTTGAAAGAGGCTGGGTTTGGTACATATGGGGCTTTGGCTTTTGCGGTGCCTCAAAATGCTACCCAGCAGGATGAGCAACCATTTCTCAGTTTCCTGAAGCGCATCAATGGGGACGTGGATTTGTCTGAGATCGAGACGGCATGCATGCGAAGGTTGTTCTATGAGAGCCACACGCTGGCCCTGTCCGACCTGAAGCAGCGGGTTGAAGCCGGGCCCGATCAGGCGCAGCAGGTGAGAAAGCTCCCAACTGCCGAGCGGGTGGCCAGACAAAAGGAGCAAGAAGATCGCCTAACGGGGATAATTTTTACTCCTGAGGTAATGCCATCCAATAAGCTGGTCGATCAGTTCGTCGAAATGCTGGAATCTGGCGTCTTGGTCTATTTGCCGCCGGATGCGTGCGCTAGCCGGGCGCAAGAGATCCAGTGTGTAAAGAAGGACGCGGCTATTTCATTAGACGGCGCAGGCACCCTTCGTTTGCAGAGCAGATCAGCTGACCCGGTGGTGGATGCGGGCACTGAGGTGAAGTTGCGAGCAGCTTGGCTCAGGAGGAGTCTGGCAATGGACCAAGCCGGGCTATCGACTTTCCAGGCCGTGGAGCGTTGGGTACAGTATCTGATGCAGCAGTTGTGCAAAGACCAGCCGAAGAATTTTAGCCGAGTAACTTTGCAACAAATTGTTGAGTGCGACAAACAGCTGTTCACAATGGCGTCAATTGAGACCATGGGCACCTTGGCTGCGCCTCCGTCAGGGGAGAAGCCACTAGATGCGGCCATTTGCGACTGAGCAAGTCGAATGAGGTGCTGCAGTACTTGACGCCGTTTCCGCAGGCCAGAGCAGCCGGTTCGAAGGACCAACCCGATCACCCGGCTAAGAAACCGAAGGTGACCCCCAAGGGAAGTCAAAAAGGGGGAAAAGAAAGCGGCGGCAAGGGCAAATATTCTATTCCAGATGGGTGCGTGTCAAAGGACGACCAGAACAGGCCCCTGTGTTTCGCCTTCCAGCATGGCAAGTGCTTGTACAAAGGCCCAAAGCAGAGGTGCGCCAGAGGCTACCATTTGTGCTACAAGGCGAATTGCTTCCGCCCAAAGCCGTTTTGCCAGTGCACGCACAGACAGGATGCGGGGGCCGGTGGTGACGTTCCTGCAGGGTTTTCCGGCCATGGAACCACCCCGGCCCCACCTGATATGTTGAATGCGAAGTCCAACAGGGCACTTTTGCCGAAGGCAAATCCAGAGCCGCTAGCCAGGGAAGACCTTCAAGGGGCCTTCTGTGAATTCCAAAGCATGCCGTCGGCCCTCGCGCCCCCTTTTTCGGGTGAGGAGGGGGCGGATTTGGGTTACCCAAACAAGAAGCCACGCCTCCAAGGGGGCTCGCCGTTTCACGTTTCACCTTCCGTAAGCACGCAGCCTTTAGTTGTGGAAGTTTTTGCAGGCAAGGCATCATTTTCTAGAGCGTTGCTGGAAGCAGGATTCGCAGTGCTTAGTGTGGACCACCAAGCCGATGAGCCGCAAGTGCCTATGGTTCTGCTAAACCTCACAGCCGCCTCTGGGCAGGAGATTTTGTGGACAATGATCAAACAGCCCCAAGTGGTTGCCGTGCACCTGGGGGTCCCTTGCGGGTCTGCAAGCCGAGCCCGGGAGCGTCCGATGCCTAAGCATCTTGTGAGAGCAGGCGTGCCCTGCCCAAAGCCTCTTAGATCCGGGATGCACCCTCTGGGTTTGCCAGGGCTGAGCGCACGGGACCAGGCCAGGGTTGACAGTGCAAACATCTTGTACAGCTTGACCTTGGAAATCGCGTTGCACTGTTTGCAGCACAACATCGTGGTTAGCATCGAGAACCCGACAAATTCTTGGACGTGGGCAGTTTTTGTAAGGATTTTGAATAATTCTCACGATGCCGCCGCTAAGCACCTGTACAATTCCATGCAGCCAGTTGAGTTCCACTCGTGTTGTCACGGCGGTCTTCGAAGGAAGGCTACCAAGTGGTTGTCCACGCCAAGGGTCTACGCGGCCTTGCAGGCAGTGTGCCAGAATGACCATGAGCATGCGCCCTTCGGAGTGACGCGATCCGAATCCGGTTGGCAGTTTGACACATCTCTCGAGGCTGCCTATCCGAAACTCTTGGCCCAAAGGGCAACAGCGTGTCTGGCCACATGGGTTGGCAAGGTGCTCGGCCAGCCGGCTCGTGTCAAAGACCTGTCGACCGCCTTCCTGGCACGACAAACGAAACGGCACCGACCAATTGTGCCCGAGTACAAATCAGTTGCCGAACGCCCAGTGGCACACAAGCTGGGCGAATTAGACAAAGTGCTCTCACCTCATCCAAAGGGGGTCAGCGTGCGGGAGGTGAGTGCTTTTGAAGGGCAGCAAGCCCCCCGGGCTACCGAGGTGCAGAGAGTAGGAACTTGGTATGACCCCGCCGAATTCCTTCAAAAAGCAACCAAAGCCCGGCACCCAATGGATACGACGTGCGCGCTTGATCCTGTTGCCGTGGAAGTGTTGGACAGGGTCATGTCCATGGATCCTCGGTTACTAGCAGTTGAGCGGAAGAAAGCCATCCTCTCTGCGAAAGTCATGGGCTTAAAGCTGGCACCTGCCGAGCAACGGCTCCATGACGGCATGCCCGCGTGCGTCAGTAAAGTGGTGAAGGGGAAGAAAATCCTTCTGTGGGAGCACCTACTACGCAAGCATAGCTACGATGACTTGGGAGTAGTGGATTTCATGAAGCACGGGGTTCCACTCGTGGGCAGTCACGATACCCCCGAATGTTTTCCTTTGAAGAGCGGGAGCTGAGGGACTCAGCTCTGTGGCGCCGAAAGGCCCTGCTCGCAAAGGACCAGGGGGCCGTTAAGCCCGACCACTTTAAGCACCTAGAGGACACTGCCCGGGAGGAACGTGAGGGGGACTTCATTGAGGGACCTTTTCTGTCTGAGGCTGCAGTAAGTGACCACCTAGGCCATAATCTTTGGGGGTAATCCGCAGGTTTGTGCTTGTGCAGGGGACGGAGGGAAAGCTTCGCCCAATTGACGATGCGCTGGAATGCCAGTTGAACAGCGCCTACTCAACCACGCTCCACCTGCAACTGCAAGACACGGACTTTGTTACGGCGTTGGCCTTGGAGATATCAAAGCGGGTTTGTCAGGGCCGTCAGAGGTGCGGGAGTGGCCGCTGGGTGGGCAAATGCCTGGATCTTTCTAAGGCATACAAACAGTTGCCGGTCCACCCCAGCCACCGGGACCTCGCGGTGATTTTCTACAAATCTCCAGAGGGGCGCACTGTGTTTCATGTGACTAACTCCATGTTTTTCGGAAGCTCTGCCGCGGTGTTTGCTTTCAACCGCATTTCACGTAGCTTGAGGTTTCTGTTGTGCAAGGAGTTGCTGGTTTTTTCCAGTGTGTTCTACGACGACTTCCCTCTTTTCTCTCCTGAGGAGTCGGCCGACGAAGCAGATGAACGAGCCTCAGAGCTGTTGGACCTACTTGGATGGCGCCACGCGAAGACAGGCCCTAAGGCCCCAAGCTTCCAACCTGCCTTCGTGGTTTTGGGCATGAACCTTGACCTTGTTAGCGTGCCTGAGGGAGTTGTCACCTTGAGCAATAAACAGGGAAGGGTAGATCGCTTGTGCCGGAGTCTCTTGGAAATCTCGGGCCGTGGCTCTGTGGGACGCCAGGAGGCTCAGTCCGTTCACGGACTGCTCCGATACGCCAGTGGCCATTTTGCAGGACGTCAGCTCTTGCAAGCCAGTGCAGACTTCCTCAGATGGAGCTTGGAAAAATCGCCAAACCCGGAACACCTCAGGCGTGTGTGCGACCGAGCTGTTGCCTTGCTTAGAGCAGGAAAACCTCGGGCCATCCCGATCCATTTAGAAGAGAAACCCGTGATAATTTTCACTGACGGTTCATGGGAAAATGGTGCAGGCGGCATCGGGGCTGTGGTGGTCGACCAGGCGACTGACACACGGAGGGTCTTGTCAGGCGAAGTTCCTTGTGAGCTGGCTGAGCTGTGGTCGGAGTCTGTGGGCCTGCAGGCCATCTGTGAAGTTGAGCTGTTGGCCGTCGTGGCCCTGAGGGAAATCCTTGGGGAGAGCCTGCGCGACCGAAGGGTAATTTTCTGGGTGGACAATGAGAGCGCTAGGTTTGGACTCATCAAAGGTATTTCAAAAAGCCTGCCCATGCAGAACTTGCTACATCAGTTTTGTGAGCTTGAGCTGGGCATCCCCTGCTTCCAGTGGTATGAACGAGTGCCATCAGCCTCCAACTGTGCGGACGGGCCCTCTCGCCAAAACTCCACGGAGGTGTGTGCATGGCTGGGCTTGCAGGGGCCGGAACCCTTTGAAGTGCCTGCTAGATTGATTCAGGCACTTGTGTCGGAGTGATCGAGCGTCAGGAAGAGGGGGAGGAAAGCGGGACGCTGGGAATGGAGGCATTTTGTCACAGCCCAGACCGTTGCCTCGATGACCCCTTTTGGATAGCCATTGTCCGCATCAACAAAGGTGCTGTGTGCTTTCCCCTGACCGTCACTTGCACAAGGATGCCGTGAAAAGAAAGAGCGGCGACTCGTGTTGTCTATTTATGAGATGCTTTCACTGGGACGTTAAACCACTGGGGGGGTTTGGGGGTTGCTGGTTCCCCCCCCCCCCCCTTTTCTGGGATTGGCTCAAACACATTTCGCTTAAAATGGGAGAAGGGAATTTCTGTTGCAAACAGACAGTACTTTCTCTCCGTGTAGCGACACAGGGACGCGGTGAGTCCCGACCTGTTTGAGACCCCTCCCCAGCGTTGCTTTTTCTTAGAACCTGTGGGAAACTCCAAACCCCCAGGTTAAGATTTCTCCTTTTTGTGGTTTGTGCGTGTGACTCTCTCAAAGAGAGTTGACGCTTGCGCATGCCAAGGGTGACAAACCAATTGATCTGCTGAACCAACTTTTAACAACCATGTGGTTTGAAACAAACCGCCGTGATTGGTGTTTCATCCCATTTTTACATTGCAAGCATAGGCTTGCAATTGCGAAAGCGTGACGTCTTTCAGTTTTTGTCCCGTTTGGACATGTGATGATTTGGACACCGATCCTTTTTGGCTTAAGGGAGTGGAGGGTGGGTGTCCTGTTTGCTTTTTGACACTTCAGAAGTTTGAGGAAAAACCCGCCCAACCCGCCCTGGGGAGGAAAGCGGGACGCTGGGAATGGAGGCATTTTGTCACAGCCCAGACCGTTGCCTCGATGACCCCTTTTGGATAGCCATTGTCCGCATCAACAAAGGTGCTGTGTGCTTTCCCCTGACTGTCACTTGCACAAGGAGATGCCGTGAAAAGAAAGAGCGGCGACTCGTGTTGTCTATTTATGAGATGCTTTCACTGGGACGTTAAACCACTGGGGGGGTTTGGGGGTTGCTGGTTCCCCCCCCCCCCCCTTTTCTGGGATTGGCTCAAACAGGTTTCGCTTAAAATGGGAGAATTCCTGTTCTCCCCGACCATCTGCGCACAGATGGAATAGCTTGTTTTGCACGATTTTGCGTGGATTTGGCATGATTTTTGCTTGCGTGGTTTTTTTCACGGTGTTCCGCGCGGGACGGTGTTTTGTCGCTCGGGACGCCTCTGCTGGGGATGCTGGGGGTGTGGAGACGCTGGGAGATGCTTTGTTCTCGCGGCTGCGATTTACGGATGTCACGTTGTTTTTTTTGCTTTTTTGCTTGCTAGGGACCTTTCGGTGTGATCGACGCTGGCACGGATTCTTGGTGGCAGATGAGAACTTTGAAGGTTGAAGTGGAGGAGGGTTCCATGTGAACAGTTAACGAAGCAGGAGGTCGGCTCTTGCCGACCCCTGGAACATGCAGGACATACGCGCAGTATGGCCTTGCCTTGTCAAGCCTGCACAGCGGTGCGTCGCATGCTTCGAGACGCTGGCGCAGTTGGCACTGCTGCAAGCTACCCACAGCCATATTGGTGGTGGGCACTACTCTTTCAGCATGCCTTCAGGCACTGATAATTCGGCAACGGAAGCAGGCCTTAACAAATTGTTCACGACCTCCTGGCAGCTCTTCGTGCAGTTAACAGCCTTCTGGGCTCACGCGCACAACGTGCTGCTGCAGCCAACACACGTTCCGGGAAGGAACAATGATTGGGCAGACGACCTCAGCAAAGGTCGTGTTAAAACCCTCTAGGCCCCGTGCCGAAATTGGGTAGCAGTTCTGAGGTCCTTGTTGGTGTTGCTTCCCAGGTTCCATTGATCGCCATTTGGCTCAAGACACAATTGAGGTTCAAGATCTGATGTGTGACTGCGCACATACGTGACGGGCATTAAGAGCAAAACAACTGCTTGCGCTGCATTCGTCAGGACCACTGTCGTAACTATCATTCCTTCTTCCTTACAACGTTTACACGGGTTCGGCTATAACGGCATCGTCCGTATACACCTTTCTACGTGGTTGGTATTAAAGCTTGAGGGTTCGGTGCACAGCGTCCCACGGGACGTCACCTTGCCGTCTCTTGACAGGTTATCAGCCGTAACTACAAGCTCTACACTGGACTGGGAGACAGCTGGTTTATTGCGGGTACAGGGACAATAAAGGAACGATAACCTACACAGTACAATGGCGTCTTCGGCGAGCCCAAGTACTGCAACTTTTGGGAACAGCAGCTCAGAGGGATCCAATGGATTGATGGCTCTTCCTGCGGTGATGGATATGATTGCAGATTCACAGGATGAACCTGGGAGCGGAGGTTCCGCGCTATTCAGTGACATATCTACTCCCACAAGATCATGGAAGCAGATCGATGTTCATCAGGAGTCGAAGAAAAGAGAATCCCCACCGAGAAGATCATCATCTTCGCCTGCGACACCACGGACGTCGCAGAAGGGCGTGAGATCGACATCGAAGGGTGGGAGGTCAAAATCACCCACCAGTGCAGATTTTCGCGCCGTGATCAAAGAGAAGAATAAGATGGAGGTGGAGATCGGGGAATATCAGAAGACACTTGATGAGATGTCGGCAGCAATGGCGAATCTTAACCAAGAAGATTATGGAAGCACCATCCGGATCCAGGAGCTGGAAAGACGATGCGAGATTGCCAGCAAGCAGTCGGGACATCTAGTGAGTCACCACCAACACCACATGGCTGAGGCATGGCGCAAGTTTGAGGAAGAAGCCCAACAGATGCGCAAGGTGGAAATGAACGCATTTCAGTACGGGGAGAAGAAAGACATGGAGTCGAATATTATGATGCAACAGATGAGACAAGCTGAAGGAACTATCGTGGAGCAGAAGCGGGAGATTGCATTGATGAAATCCTACATGGCAAGCGAGAAGTCGGCCGCGCAGGAATCAGCTATACGTGCAAATCAGATACACCGTGAGGCTTCACAACAGATATCAGCCTATCAGCAACAGATCAGAGGCATAGAATCTTCTACATCTATCGAGAAGTTCAACGAGGAGGAGATGGTCCAAAGTCTGAAATCACAGTTGGAGCATGCACTCGTCAAGCGCCCCGAGACGTACTCTTTGGAGGACTCCAGGGAACTGCTGATGACGAGGCTAAATGACGTTACAGTATTTGCAGAACAGGAATCGAAGAGAGCAGATTGCTTGCTTCGCGAAAAAGAAGAGATCGTCAAACAGTACGAGTCCGACGTGTCGATGAAGGACCAGATGATTGCTATCGAAGGTGGTCATCGTCAGGATGCGATCTTGGAGTTAGCCCAGGTCAAAGAAGAGAAACAAGAGGAACGGTGCACGATGGACGAGAAGTCGAAGGAGGCTGAGTACTGGAGATTGACAGCTAAGGGAATGTACGATGAGTACCTCGAGGAGATGCATGAGCTTCAGGGACAACTGAAGGAAAGAGAGGCGACGCTCAAGCAAGAAGAGAGTTTTGTACGCCAACTCGATGCTGACAACGAGGAACTACGTGCACACAAGAAGCTGGAGATGCAGGAAGCCTCCAGCAGCAAAGATGGACATCGTGAACGAGCAGTAGTGAAACGCGCTGAGGGAGGAACCCAGGCTAATTCAAATAGGATAGACAAGAAGGTGGCTGGGTCAGTCCCGTCATCGTCTTCAAATCAAATCCCTAATTCGTCGCTGATGCCAGGTTCGATCCTCTTTCCGTCTTTCGGTGATCCAATGATCGATGTACACCTATCCCAGATGCAAGGGGTTGTTGGGCATGTCCCACAATCCACTACTACGACTGGTGGTGGTGATGGGGGGGGAAACAACGGTACTACGCCCCCATTGGATTACGGTGGATTCCCGCCCAATGGGAATGGGCAGGGAGCGGGTCGACGTCAGTTGAGCCTCGCTGGTGGCGGAGGAGGACCTCCGGATGATCCACCCGATGATGAGGATGAGGATGACGACGACGAAGGAGATGAGGAAGACGAGGAAGAAGAAGAGGAAGAAGACGATCGGACACGGAGGAGACGAAGGAGATCGAGAGATAACCGAGAGATCAAGAATGATCGACCGAGAATCTCGAGGAAAGAGGCCGAGAGAGTATCTATTCCGGCCTGGCCAAAGATCCATCAACTTGACACCTGGAAGATGCAACTGCTGATGAATGTTCTGAGCGCATGTGCAGATCCAGATACCGACGCATGGACGAAATGGCTGGAGCAGGCTCTTGGGTTGAACCCAGACCTGGATTTGCTTAGCGATTCAGGTGGCGACAGATTTGCTACGATAGATATTAAGATGGCCATGGGCATGCAGAACATGCTGAAACAAGCACCTGACGAAGCCAAGGACGTATACCTCGATGCTACACGACACTCTGAACTACGACATCAACAAGGGGTGATCGTGAAGGGACGAGAGTTGGTGGCATTAGTTATGCAATCATTCAGAACTTCCGATAGAACGGATCTTGTCTACCACATCGAGCATTTATTCAACCTTGACTTTCCTGGCGACAAGAATTTGGTCATGTTCAGGAACAAATGGTATGATTTGCTGCTGAAGATGAGGAGCGAGGACAGACCCAGTAAGCTGGCTCTCAGAGACATCCTTTACAGGAAGATCAAAGGGAGCAAGAAGATGGAGTTCGGCCTCAATGCCTACCATAGACTACCGGACAAGCATCCTCAGAAGACGTATGAATTCTTATTGGCGTTGATCGACTATCAGATCAAGGCAGATCGGGAAGACCTGATGCTCGACATGAAGGAGAAGTCGGTCAAGTCGATGATGAAGTCAGGCGGGAAGGATGCGGCTCCAGCAACTGGCAAACAGGAGAACCAGGGTGGCAAGGGCAGAAAGGGGAAACCCGGTGGACCTGATGCCGCTCCTGTGCTCCCAAAAGCCAAGGCAAAGGGCCACGCTGGCAAGAACGGCAAGTCCGACGGTGCCAGCGACAGAGGCAAGAGTCCGGGCGGAAGCAA